TTAATTCTGAGAAACTTTTGTCTACATAAAAGCTCACATGTTCTACGCTGTAAAGAAGATATCACATAACACTTAAAAGGTTTTCACAAGAGGTTTTCGTATTTAAGTGTTTATAAGCAAAATATCCTAAATTTACCTGAACTATTTGGTAAGAATGAACATTTTCCGGTACTAAAAACTTCATAAACATAAAGATTTAAAAACAAAGGTAAATTTTCTTCGAGTATACATTTTAAGGAAGGTGTAGTTTCCTAAAATGAGTACAAGAAACAACATATTTCTACATTTTTCCCAGCCAATAGATTTAAACTTATAAGATCATTTAAATCCATTCAGAAAAAACATACTATTTACTTTACCAGTTTTAAAGAATATGGTTTAAGTTGGCAGTGAAAATGACCTCGCTCAAAAGCTGGCATCCTGAGGCGATTTAAATATCTTAAGGCGGCAACATTATTAATAGGAAAACTCTGCTACGGTAATGTATCCAAAGCATAAACATATGCAAGAAGTTCTGGCGACATTTAATTACATAATTCTTTAATGACCATGTTTTCCATGCCTTATCCATAATTCATCATGAAATATCGGTATATGCCACCTAAATCGTGTAAAAAGAAAATGTGAAGGAAGATAATTTCCGGTGCGGAGGTAAGACTGAAATAAAACCAAAAAGACTGATGTTTGTGCTTTTCTCTTGTACTCTCGCCTTGAGATAAACACCATAAAAAGGCCTAGAACTTAAAGTTCTACTGAAGTACTGAAAAACATCAAGTACGGTGTCAATACAATTAAACGAGTCCACGTGCATTTCCTTAATGTCTCTGTTCTTAGCTTTAGCCATGATATATTTAGAACCTTATATAGATTTTAAACATCGATTCTTAATTTATCGCGACTGCTGACAATAAATAAATTACTTAAACCAGCCGGGTTGAATAATTTCTGTGGTAAAGTCCCGGTTAGAAAATAATCTGAAATAGAAGTAATAACGCTTAAATGCAGGTGAACGTGGGATGTCTTATCCAAAACGAAAGCAGATAAAGCTTGTAACAAATTCTAGTGTTATTTTAACATTAGGACTTTAGCACGACTAATTTAATTCGTTATGCAGCTTTTTCTCCATGTCGCAATTTCTGCGGACGCTAAGTTAATAACAGAAATGTAATAATTGTAACGGAAAAAACCCCACGCACATAGTAACGTGTAGGTCATTACTGATACTAAATGGACTACAGAGTTTAAAAGCAGTCTTTTAATGTAAAGTTTGTCTTTCCATCAAAATTTCGATTAAAAAGACATGTTAAATTTTGACCCTGCGAAACAGTATTCGGTCCAAGGTGTGCAAGCAACTGTTGAATATATTATAAATGTTTGAGCAACGCAGCGTGAATAAAATGGATGCTTTATTGCTTTGTATACTCAAAAAACTTCGAATCTATTACAGTAAACTGTGCTAAAATCTGAAAAGTTGTCGTAATTGCAGTTGCAGACGTGCGCTTTAAGCTGACCACCGGCTGCGAAATACATGCGTATAGTTTGATCGTTCCTCGTACGTTTTTTCTTTTTTAGCAAAATGAAATGTAAATGCTCACACAAGAAGTCACATGTTAAACAAATATTGGATCTTAGGAAGAAACCTGTCAATAAAGTGTGAAATAAAATGAAGTGAACCAAAAGCTTTATAAACGTATTTCTAAGCTAAAGATCTATAAAGATCAAATGAAGTTGAAGTAAATCATCCATAAAAAGTGATGTTAATATTTAAAGCGCCACTGGGTCTATATTAGATTTTAGTAGATTTGGTTTATATGAACATTTTTTGAATAAATTAATTGACCAAATGCAGAACGACACTGCAGTGAATCACATGCAGCCACCACACTAGATAAACATTTACGCTCATGAATAACAGAGACTACTTGTGGTGAAACGCGCTCATATCAGGCGAAATCCTTAACCGTGTGAGCAGATTAACGAATAATTTAATGGAATAACAATTACCGGAACATATCAGTAAACTACTTAGAAGATTTCATAATCAACCAAGATGAAAGAATAATCTGCATTTAAAGAACTAGCTTGCAACTGTTTGCTAAACATGGCTTAAGTATGATCGATATAGCTGCGGAATTTTTGATGATAATCTAAGAAGGCTACACTAGACGCTCCCATGCTGTAAGATAAATCAGTAGATTAGAAGGGGAATTTTGGACCAAATTACCGCTAGGGCTGCAACGGCGGATACCCTAAGTAGATCTGATAAGTTTTCTCCACTATTCAGTATATCCTAGGCTGATGGGCTGGCAAAGTTTAGTCCACACCATCCTGTTACACTAAACACGCTGACATTTCTGTTTGCGTGCTTTGAATTCGGCTACCATTCCTCGTCAGCGCATGTGGAAGTAAATTTCAAAGGCCGTGAGACAACACATTAATCTAACAAACGCGTGATGAATATTTTTGCTGTCGTGCGTGAAGCGTAAATCTTTTGCACGTTTTTACAAGATTTGCACCTATGAAAATTCCAAAACAAAATCATAGTGTTTCTAAGTTCTCTAGCAGTTGAATGATTATAGGGATAACAAAAATGACAGAAATATCTCAAAAGAACAAATAACCATTTAATTTGACCAACAAGACAAACTAAAATTCATGTCTGATTGTGTTTTCTTCATCGAATCTATTTCGAGCAGGCAAAGATATTGTCCGTCATAAAATATGAACACGCATTAAATCACAAAGAGGGAACCACCGGCGGTTAAAGAGGATATTTAAAAGCGGCCAACGTCCGAATACGATTGCTAGATAGGAAGCAACAATTCCACTTGGTCTCATTACCAGATTTACTACTGATTCTTTAGTAAAAATTGGATGCAATATTTTACAGAGCTTTTACATTCAAATTCATTTATATGTATACTAAAAATAATCGCTTACTTTCTAGGTAATTCTCTTACTGATGAGCTTTGGCATGGGGATCTGCTTTTCGGAGACTGTGTACGACCCATTGGGCAACCTGATGGACCTGCTTACATTGCTGAGCTGTGGGACGAATTTCTGGCTTTACTGCATAATGTCCCAGCAGTTTCGCATAACCTTTCTCAAGCTCTTCTGCCCAAAGAGGTTCTCGGCCAAAGCGGAAAACACTCAGTGAAAACATAGAATACTATTCCCCAGTTTTTATTTTTTACAAAGTCTGCACAAACACGGATTGTTCTTTTGGATTGCTAAAGTTGTACATACTATGTGTGTGTCAGTTTATTGATACACTCGACGCTAAATTGAGTTCTATCTCATAAAAAATAAACTTTTGGACAAATGTTTCCTGAAAAAGTGTGTTTTTTAAATTTGTCTCACATATGTGTCAAAAATTGTAAAGGTTAGTATCCTGAGAAGTGCGGAAGGTAAATCTTCCAAGACCATGAGCCTTGGTTTGAACGTTTCATTGGTTACTGACCTGAATTAAATTGTTTATTGCATATTTAATTACCTCTTGCATTATCCTTAAAGCATGTACCGGTGGCCAATATATTTTTTTGAATACGTGGGTTCATTCTTTGAACAAACAGAGTTATATTGAAATAGGGATCTCTCAGGACTCAGGGTTATAACTGGTAGCATGAGACATTAAACGCTCTTAATGATGCAGTTAATTTACTATTTATAGCTGCTGCCAATTTTCTGTCGTGTACGAGTTACTGAATTTAAGTTAGCCACGTGTACCTTAAAAGTTTCAATGTTATCATACGTTCGCAGCAAAAGTGACCTACTTAGAGGGAGCACCTGGAAGTTGCTGACAATCCTGGGTTGATAACTACTACGTTTTATTCGTTGGAAATAAATAAACACTGACTAAAATCACAGCACTTCGTCAGTAAAAATGCGTTCACAACAATTGCAATTATAACAGATACAGTAGTCGCCATTGATCATGCAATAACGTCAAGTCTGCATGAAAACCG